AATCATCTACTATAACGAATAATTCGTTAACGCTATAACGAATTATTCGTTATACATTCTGCATAATTCGTTATAGCATTAATGAAGATTCTTATAATGAAGTCCTGATCGGCTGAATCGGCAACTTCGTTATATCGAGGTGTGACTGTAGTTTAAATTATTAATATAGATTCTGTATTTGTCTGTCTTTAAGCTAGATCATTTTCTTTATAATTATGAGAATCATATCTAGAAATTAAACATAAATTAGTATCTAATGCAGTCCAGATAAGTTATTTATTATCAAATTCAATCAGATTTCTATTTTTGGTAGCTTTGAGATCTTCTTTGATGTGAAATTGTATAAATATATATTGTAAATTTTATAATTTGACTGAACTTTAGAATGATTTAGGTTACTGTATTAACAGTTTTTCTAATTAGTTCAAATTCTCTACCTATAATATTTTTTGAAAGATTTATAAGTTTTAGAGTAAATTAAGATCAAGATTTAATTTTATCATTCATCAGAGAACAAATATGTACTCTAATCATATTTTTAAAGGTAAATAAACCTGTATAAGTATTAAAAAAGAATAAATCTACCCTAGATACATACAAAATAGTTGTTTATTGTTAAAGATTTTTAGTCATCATAGGATATTTTATGATCAAATTAAAATAGATAAAAGTTGATCTAATGATCTGTTCTGATGTAAAAATGAAGATTTCTGTGATTTTGATTAATAAACTTAAATTAGATTTAAAAGATGCAAGTAGGATAAGAGTTTGAATGTTATAATATTTATATTAAAAATTTTGGCAATAATTGCCTAATTTGCATTTTCGTGTATGATAAATCCTAATCTGATCATATTTAACATTTTATTTGCAAAATCTTACTTAATTGATATACTAATAAACAATGAAAAATCTACACTATTAAATAATTTACAGGCTTTGTTAGTTTTTTCATGAAAATATTTATTGAAAAGGAAAATTTCATCAACATAATTAATATAAAAGGTAGTTGCATCTCATATTCTTTCAAAAATAATAGTATTCTTGTTAGTATTTTTGTTATTTAACATGTTTTCTAAAGCATCAAAGACTTGGTCTCTTCATGATGTTGTTATTATTAGAGACTGATGTTTCACTATTCTTTAGTATTTTGATAATCAAAGAGTTGGTAGTAAATACTTCTTGAGTAGTTATATTTTTAAAAAATAAGATAGGTGTATTATACTTAAAGGTTTAAATAGTTTAAATAGAACTGCTTATGTCTGTTAGTCGATATTCATAGTAATAGCTGACAAAATTGTAGTAGTTGTAAGAATTTTTGAAAGATCAGCTGTAATATTGTTAGCAGATTTAGACAAAATAGTCATGAGTTTTTTCTTTGATGATTGTACTTTATCATTATTTAAAGAACCAGGATGGTTTCGCAAGTTGCAATTATTATTTTTATGAAAATTTTAGTTTTTTTCTTTTTCCATATTTTTTGTTATATATACAAAATTGATTTTTTTTCCTATTAATGTGTTATTGCTTAAAGGCTTAACTAGAGGAATACCTATATAACTAAGTAAATATTATCTTTAAAGTGATTCTTTAAAGTCTCCAATTCACAATTAAGGGATACAGCAACTTAGCACTAGAAACACTTTACCCTATTGATAACTTCTGAGACTGTAAAATCAGGTTCTTTATATAGATGATAATTTTGTACTTATAACGTCAAATTTACCTAAAAATTGAATTCAACCTTTATCTCTAGTAATAGTTTGATTAGATAATGCTACAGTTTATTATCACCATAACCTACCTAAAGAAGGTATCTAATCTTCTAATTACTAGTTAACTACTTTCTTATTTGTATAAGGTTCTCTAAATTTAAAGTCGTGAGATAGTATCTATTACAGATCTGTCAGTGAAGGCTAAGTTTCTGTTGATCTTTAGATTCATTTGCATTCACATATTCTTTAAACTCAGTATTTATACATGATCAACCTCGATCAATGAATTGATTGATCAGTTTCTAATATATATTAGTATATATACTCACATATTTAGTTACATATGAAATTCTTATAAAAATCATCTAGTTTTATGCCTTAACTAAAATCTGAACCTATGTCTATTGCAGTGTAACTCACAATAAGAGCTTAATTGTTATCAATTGAACTAGGAACGCTAATCTCATATATGCAAAAATGATTTGCAAGACTAATATAAAGATAAATTTCATGTTATATTAAAATGATTTGCAATACTATAGTCAAATTAGACAAATAAATGATCTACATGTCTTATTTTTTTAAATTTAATAGTCTAATTTTATTATGCAAATAGATCTTATTACATTATTCACTATTGATAACATTTATTTCACTTATTCATTTTATTCATTTATTTATTTAAATCATTTATGTATTATTTATTTTCTTTATTTTATTATAATTAGTATGTATTTTTATATAAATAGGAGTAATTCGTCAATGTAAAAAAGAGTAATCTTATCTTGTAATAATTCTTTTGATAAATAAATTGTTTAATACAGACATGCTGACAGAGACAGTAAAATAATTAATTGCACATATTTCACCCAAATTGTTTCATTTATCTCTATTACTTTTATCTTGTATCTTTATTTTTATTCTTTCATGTGAAGGAAACCTTCTGCTAAGCCTTGATATCGCAGGTGATTTACCCACAATCTAAAAGAACTGGTGTAACAATATCTCATATATTTGTCTAATTTGAAACATGCTGCAACAAAACCAAACAAAGTAAATATAAACATATATACTATCAATATAGTATGATTTCAATGTTATTTATTGTTTTCATAATTTTCATATTTTTAGATTTTAATTGAGAACTATGACATATCATATTCAAAAATCTATAATCACCCATTATTCAGTATTCTAAATGAATAAAGATTAAAGAAAGCAAATTAAAAGATATTACAGAACAGCCAATGGCTAAAGGAAATTTTGACTATCTTTTTGAATACGTTTACGCCTTACACATCCTTGCTCAGAAAATGTGTATGGTTTAGGATGAATTGAGCTGCGTCGATCTCGGTGCAACCGTGACGCCTTGACTGCCAGCTCATTCCGAATAGTTATAATGTAGTTCAGAGTTGACTATAGAAAAAAAGATTTATTAAAGTTCCATTGAAACAACCAACAGAATGGTGACAGAGACAAATCTCAATTCGCAACAGCAATGTTGTTAACTTTTCAATTATTAATAATTGATTGTTCGATTGAGGTAGTTTTGTTTTCTTCATGAGGCCTAACCGCCATAGACCTTTTGCTTTCCAATCCAATGCGTACAAGTTGTAATAAAAACCTAATATCCCATAAAATTTATTCAAATACCAATATTTCAATTTATATAAAGTCAAAAAAAAAAGACTCACCATAAGAATGGACGCCAAATGTATACAAATTCCTAAAGTCTGTACATTCCACACCATTGTTTTCTATTGCTTCTTGGAGCAAGACATCACGCATAGCAACCATAAGGTCAACTTTATCATTCCATCTTTTTGAACTACAAGCTTCGGGTAGTCCTCCTGATCGCAGTCCAATGACTGCCTCAAAACCATCACAAGTGATCCTGAAATCACAACGTTGCCCAATCAACGACCTGTCAACTAGTTTTTTATTTAGGTTTGCAATCATCGCTGATGAAAGACTTTGTATTTCTCCTCTAAAAATGATATTGTCAGCAAATAGAAAAAAATATTTTCATATTTTTAGGAAAAATAAAACTTAACTCATCATACGCGAATTTCTGATAATAAGTAATAATACCCTTAGTCATCATATTAGTAAAGTTATTTGAGAAAGAACCTTCTGACATGAATACCTTTGACCGATCCAGATTGTAAGCACTGTATACCATATTGTGAGAATGTTCAATAAACAATTACGATGTAAAGACAAATATCAAATGGAAAACATACTATGTTTGAATCAGTCTTCTTATTACATTTATCTTTGGATGTCCCTAAAATCAAAATGCATAAGTTTCGAAAATCAGAATGCACCAGTTTTAATGGTTCAGTTTTTTTTGTCTTTTATTATATAATTTTACAGTTTTCAATCTTCTGGATTAATATTTAGGTAACATGTACCTTAATGATACATTCTTCTATATCCGTGACAATATCGTCTGATTTTCTCTTAAGTACCTGAATGAGATTAAACATCAACCAACAATCAAACACAGAATAAATCCAAGACATAAGAATTTACCTTCTCAATTTTGTCAAACAAGTCATAGAGTAACTCTTCCTCCTTTGGATCCGTTTCCTTAAGCACCACTGTCTTGTTAAAGTCTGCCTTCATTTCGGCCCATTCTTCAACAGTAAATAATCCCTTGATTTCTGGTTCTTCTCCGGACAAGTCGAGAATCCCAAAGTATGCTGGGCTGATAAATAAAAATTAGAATAATAGCAATTATGTGTCCTAAAAAAAAGCATTATTTTTAGATATTTACTAGAGATAAGCCTTTGTCAGCGGAATTTTTGATTTAAACTCGTTTAAAACCTTATAAACGTCTTTCCCTGTTGAAAGAATCCATTTGTTATCGGACTCATCCTCTCTCATATTTGTTGTTGCTTCAAGTTCTTCTATATAATTCTAATTCAAGAAACAGTAAAGATTTTGGTCACCTATAATAATCACCTACACAAATAAGCAGTGATAACATAAAATAAATAAATAAAACTCACCAGCTTACGCATTTGATCATCAGTATCATCATCCACGTCAAAATCAAAGATATCTTTTTCTGAGACGACATCACTTGCATTTTCATTCTACATATATTACAATTACATTCAACATCATTACTCATTGTAAATTTTTAGTTAGAAATGATATAGAAATAATATACTTGCTTTTCTACTTCGTTTACTTGATTGTTCCTATTAGTATGAATATTTTTGTTATTCATTAATTGCTTAAATATGCATATGAAAGGAAAAACTTTTATTTATTCCCGATTAATATATGAAGCACAAATCTACTTGCCATACTGTAAAGATCATGTTCTTCGTATAAATTCTTTAATACCTTCTTATTCTGGTGATGATCTTTAAGTGCCTCCACATTGTAGGAAACTATCATATTTCGACGTATTGATGTATGCAAATTTCTTTCTTCTTCTTTTTTTCGAAGCTCATTCATAAATTGTTCAACTTCCATTGCATTGAAATACTTATCATAACTTTTTAAAAGTTTGTCCAATTTACTGATCGCTCTTTGTTGCATATTTTCTCGATGGTAGTGGCGTCGTAACGTTGTGTAGATCTCATCCTTGAGGATGTTGACATTATCAATACATAAACCATGCTTGGATTCTGTGTATTTCAAGATAGATAGGATTGACCATTCATTGTATCTGGTAGTGTTGAGATATTCTTCAATAGTGGAATCATACATCCTGAAAAGAAAAGAAATCAGTTATTAAGTTGTTGTGTGTTAATAATAATAAACAAGACCAACTTGTCAGAGAGAAAGAATGCGCCAATAAAAAGTATACTGGTAACCAACATGTCGAAATCAGCCTTTAAGCACGCATGCATCAAAGGGGATCCAAGAGGTTGTTTCCAAGCATCTGACGCAGGAGCAAATGGCCAATACGTTAGTAAGTATACATAACGCAGGAGCAAATGGCCAATACGCCAGTAGGTATACATAACGCAGCGCTGGTAAACAACATGTCGAAATCAGCCTTTGAGCACGTGTGCATCAAAGGGGATCCAAGAGATTGCCTCCAAGCATCTGACGCAGGAGCAAATGGCCAATACATCAGTAGGGCTGCGCATTACTGGTTGTAATGTGTTATAGTAATCACCCAGATAAATAAGACTTAACTTATTTTCAAACGACGGCTCTGAAATATTTATATACTAATAGTAATGACGGTATATCCTGAATGCTTGTCCAATATTAACAGTTGATAAAAAAAAATTTTTTTTTTTTTTTGAAGTTTGTTATAGTGTCCAGGATTTGTTGATCGCGATTTTATAACGATTTAACTGATTTTTTGCGATTTTGGCGTGGTCACGATTATTGCGATTTTCACGATATTGAAAATTTGATTGGATAATTTACCTTAATATAAATATGGGTTAAAATCGGGTCACGAGTAACATGAACAAATAAACGTTGAAATTAACATAATTCTGGTCAAAAATGCGATCACGATAAATCACGATTTTTATCACGCGATTTTAGGTCATCACGCGGGTGTAGACCTTTATCCTAGACCTGGAGGGTGCAGACTCTTATCCTGTACCCCCTTTGAACCTGATTGGTTCCAAAATCATATATCGCGTCTTTGGCATATACAGTACAAATTAAATTTTTGTTTTCTTCGAATTTAAACTAAATTTTCCGTTTCGTTTGTTTTATTTATATTTTAAAGAGAAAAAATAAGCTAATTTCTAAAACATAATATATAAAAGTATAATATTTAAAATTTTTATTCTTTTATTTATTTCAAAAGAAAAATAATAATAAAATATTTATTAAAGCTACTCTTATACTTATAATCGCCAAAATTGGCATTTTATTCCATAATTTTTCTAGCTTCTTCAAATGTTATATTGCCCTTATCCTGAGAAATCAAACGTAATGCAGTTTCTGGAACCAAAACTTCTTGCAAAAAATCAACTGGTTTTTTAGGAGAAACCAGTTCATTTGTTAAAAGATTATTAAATAAAAAAAGTTTCGAAAGCATATCGCTAATAATATTTAATCCCTTTGAACCATAATACCCTGGCTATAAAAATAAATTTAACGTAAATATTCAAAAATTCTATAAAAATTTAAAAAAAAATAATTACTTACTCTTAATTCTTCAAAACGATTCATTATTGCCATTGGAGCTCCTGCTTTTCTTGATCCAATTTCTTTACAAACTTCTAAAGAAAAGTTCCGGTAGTAACTATCAACTTTTTTATAAATAATATTAAGGAAATCATCTTTCATTTGGGTTATTCGATCTTCTAATAATTCAAAATTAATATCCATAGGATAACCCTTTTGAATGCCGTCAGGGACAATTGATGTTTCCGCGTTATGGATTTTACAAAATAAGTATTGGTCTTCTTGCGTTGGAATCCCTAAAAAAAAATTATCTTTTTTATTTACCATTTTGTTTCCCAATTTTTCTTAATAAAAGGCGAATTTTTGATGGAAGAGGATTAGGTAAGAACTCTGTACAAAAAGGACATTTATTAAAATTTCAATTTTAATATTAAAGTAAAATGATAATTATTAGAAAACATTAAAGAAAAATTACCTGATGAAATTTGGTAATCTACGAAAATGGGATTATTTTCTTTTCCAAGATTATTTTCTTCTAATCCTTTGACTCTTTCATTATTCAGAGGTATATTTTGTTCATGTAATATTAATGCAGGTCTTTTAGAAGATTTTGTATTTTCAAGTTCACTTTTATTTCTTTTTTTTGAAACACATCCTTATAAAAGTTGTAAAAAAAAAAAAAAATTAAAAATGAATTAATAATTATATTTATCAAAAAAAAATCTTACCTTTTGATTTTATTATTGCTAAATTTTTGATTTTTCTATTATCTTGAACTTGTGAAGTTTTTTTGAAATATGAGAGGATATTTCTTCTTTTACTGATTTATTAAACAAAATATAAAAATTTTTTGTTACTTCAGATTTTGCTTTTATTATTTGTTGAATTTTGTATCAAGTTTGATTTAAAAGATATATATAATCATTGTGATCATTTTCTACATTTGAAATTTATCTTGATTACTTATTCTTAATTCTCCAGTATTATTATAAAATAATTTATACATTTTAACTAATACATTGTCAATTGGATTCTTTTACCATTTTATAAGAAATAAATGTAAAGAAAGTTCTTCTAAATTTAGTTGAGCTACAACTTTAAAAATATGTTAGCATAATACCAGAAAAGTTCATATAATAACATAAATATGAAAAATAATTATCTATTAAATTATATTTAACAATCCTTTTCTTTTATTGACTATCAAATCATTTAACATAAAATAAAACTTTAGATTCATTATTATTACTAAAAAAAATACTTCAAAAACAAAGTTATTTTCTTTATCTATTAACTTTCTTACTTTTACAGTCTCCGTCAAAAGTAATGACAGTTGGGAATATTGCTTTTTGTGTAGACTACAGCAACTCTGTTATTCTAATTTGACTCATTATTTATTAGACCAAATTGGATAATGGTATGTTTATATAAAATAAACAATAAAAAAATAAATTAAACCCATTTGAACTTTTTTATTACTCACCAAAATTACAATAATATTAATATCTATTAAAATGAGTCGCAAAGTTATAAAGTTCCTTTAGAATAAGAACATACAATATTTGGATAGTTTTTTAATGAAATTTTTTTTTAATGAAAAAATGGAATAATCTTAATAACTCAATATTATTTAACTATATCAATAGCATACTAATCAAATTTAAGCATGTATTGATGCAAATAGAAGATACACTATATATTAATTATTTACTAAAATTTATAAATACAGTCATATCTCGATATAATGAAGTTGCCGATCTAACTGATCAGGACTTTGTTATAAGAATCTTTGTTAACGCTATAATGAATTATGCAGAATGTATAACGAATGATTTGTTATAGTAGATGATTACTGATTTCATTACACAAATATAATTTTACTATTTCTAGAAATATTTTCACATTATTAATCATTAACGACAATTTTATTAATTTACTTAAATTTTTTTAAAAAAATTTATTTTTCTAAAATAAATAAAAATAAAATAAAAAATAAAAACGAAACGAAGAGAAAACTAAACAAGATGAAAAAATGAAATTAATAAACTGAAATGAAACTATAAATGAAATTAAGTGAACGAGATGAAATGAAAAATGAAATTAAATAAACGAAAAGAAATTATAAAACAAAATTAGAAAACGAAACGAAATGAAAAAAATGAAATTAAACAAACGAAAAGCAACTATAAAACGAAATTAGAAAAATAAAATGAAACGAAAAAATGAAATTAGGAAAATGAAATGAAATAGAAAAATGAAACAAAATGAGAAAATGAAATGAAATGAAAAAATGAAAAAGAAAAAATGAAATTAAACGTATAATACAAAAAGAAAAAATAAACGATATAAAAAAAACACGAAATTAAATGAACAATAAGAAAAAAAACTGAAATTTTTATTACCTTATAGGCCTTACCTTGTATTTCGTATTTGCCTTGTAGTAGGCAAATTACGATTTTTCCTACAAGTGTGTCTTAATTCTAAAAAAGTAAATATATTTAATATAAATCTAAAAATCATTTAAACATTTTCAATTATTACCTGGCCTATCTCAGAATCAAGTTCTGAAGAGATCGTATAATCTTTCTATAGTATAGATCCACCTTCCACCTTTTCTCGCTCTATTTTGATAATCGTAAAAATCCTAAAAGATATTAATTATGCTGTTAAGTTATATTTATCATTATATTGTTATTCATTTATTTACTTACATTATAATCTCATACTAAATTCCTCCATTTCAACTTGCATTAGCGAGTTAAATATGCTGTATTAAATCTTCGATTGATTCATCAAGCTACATTTCTCCAAAATCCCATCTTATTACCTCTGTACCTTACATGATACTTTACGTTTCTCCTCCTTCTTTCATCGACTAATAAGTCAATTTCATTATCATCCTAAATGATTCTTGTAGTCATTATTGTATTTGTAAAAAAATATGATTTAATGGAGTAAATTAAAGTGATTTAAAGGTTGATTTAAATTTCAAAAAGTGAAAATTTATACAATGATAAAAAATACTTCCCTTTATAAATAAATTTATCCATTAATTTGATATCTTGTGAAATTCTTTACTCATGATTGAAATAATACAATCTTGATTGAAATTCTGATTTGTATTAAAACAAAAAGTCAAAATAATAATATAAGCATTATATTATAATTGTGCATCATATTATTTATAAAAATTAGATCAATTCAAATATAACAAGTAAAACTCATAATTAAAATAATATAAAAAAAACTCTTCATAATCGAAAATTCTGATTTGTATTAAAACAAAAAGTCAAAATAATAATACATCATATTATTTATAAAAATCATAAACAAAACTTAATCAAAGTATCCCCTAAATATAAATTAGGGAAAACCTATAGAATACAAACACACATATGAAACCGATAGATTTTACATCGTAGGGAATGGAAAAATCAGAGTAACAAGTAATCAAAAGACCGGAGAGGTATATATATAATGTGTGTATTTATTATTTCATTTCATCAATAATTCTTCATTTTTTGATAGATCATCAAAGGTGGTATCGTCGAAAAAATTCGTGTTGCAAATTTGGATATTTACTCACCAAATACAAAATTAGATTATCGTATTTCTGTAAACTTAGAAAGGCCGAGTAAGTTTTGAGAATCGATTATTCGATTTAATTATAAATCATATTTAATCATATTAATTCCCATTATTCATTTTACAGGGGAAATGCCGAATGGGTCACATAGTTTTGAGAGGAATAAGGATAGGTTGTGTTACACTCATCAAATTATTAAGGTTGATTTAACTCAAGTCAAGGGAGCTGATGCAAGTTTAATTTAATATACTTTTATTTCATTTTTTTTTTTTTTTTACTTGCAAGATTTAGAACCAACAATTTTATGCATTTATATAAATAGGCTGGAGCAAGAGGCTCGCAAGAATTAACTCATGAGTTAGAAGTGGAATTTATAGATCCAAGTATTCTATATGAAGAACGGCTCAAGGTTGAAAACCAACAAAAAAACCGTTATTTTGAGATTGTTGAACATTTTCTCAACAATATCAGAGTTTTAGCTAAAAAAGTCCTTTGATTCTAGATTAAATTTTTTTTTTATGAAATATATATATCGATCGATCGGAAAATATATGAAACGTAAGGTGAAAGTTAGGGATATAAAAGGAGGAAAAGCACACTATTTTATAAACAATTTTTAGACTATATCAAAAAAAAAGCCTTTGTAGTAAAATTCTTTGCATAAAAATACGTAGAACTTAAAGCAACACATTTAGGTTATGATATCCTTCATACAAATTTTTTTTATATATCTTGTTTAATAATTTCCTAAAAGAAAATTCGTGAGACATTAATTTCAATAAGGATTTAAAATAATAATTTATTAAACTTTAATAAGATGACTATTAAACGAAATTTTGTCAAATACACTCCCTACAAAAAAGTTTATCGTTAATTTTCATTAGACTCTAATAAATAAATTTATTATCTTTATATTTGCATTTTAATTAAAAATAAAAAAGTTTAATATATTGCATTTTTTTTTTAAGTTAATTAATACTTAGAAATCATTTTTAAGAAAATTTTATAAGAATGTAATATTTAAAACGATATTTATTCAAATTGTGTAACAATTTCGAAAAAAAAACTTTTTAAAATCATAATCCTATACATAAGTAAAATTTTCATTAAAAATCTTGATTTCCTATATTACCTATATATAAATTTTAATTAAAATATTCGCTAATATCTAGTTGGAAAGCCGCGTACCTTTAAACTGCTTTCATCCGATTTTCCATACTGCTAACCAGATTCTGATAAACCTCACTGGAAATTTGTGACCATGATTCTTGCAAGAATTTTTCTAATTCGTTCATGTTTTTTGGGTTTTCTTTTCGTGATCGGATGTTACGTTCAAAACATCCCATAAGTGCTCGATAGGGTTTAAATCAGGACTTTGTCCAGGCTATAGTAAAAGAATTATCTCATTTTCTTCAATGAAAGTTTCGTGTTGTCTACTTGTATGGATCAGCGCGTTATCTTGCTGAAAAAATACCCCCATTTTCCTCTTCAAATTCTTCTAAAAATGGTATTAAATGGTAGCCAAGAAGTTCTTCTATATACAGTATCTCTCACTATTTATCCATCCATCAATCCTTACTAAAGGACCCAACCCATATCATGAAAATACCCCACATCATAATTCCACCTCTGCCATGCTTTACCATTGGAACAAGGCAATTATTGTCATATTTTCCTTTGGGAGAGGTCAAACATGAATTTTCCCATCATTCTGGTATAAGATCAACATTGATTTTTCACTCCAAACAACCCTTTTCTAATCATTTATTGTCTAAGAACGCCTTTTTCAGGATTATTTTAATTGAAAATGTCTATTTATTTCACTTATATCAGGCTTTCGAAGGGTAATTCGACTATGGTATACAAGTTTATAAAGTGCACTTCGCATAATATTTATACATACTTCCTTTCCAGTTGAATTTACAAAAATTTCTCATATTTTTCCTGCTAGTTCACATCTTTCTTTACTAATAATAAGCTTTAAATGTCGTTTATCCTATTCATCCAATTTTTTAGATCATCCACTTCAAAGAGTAATAGTAAAAATACCTGTTTTACAATATTTTGATATTGTATTATGGATAGCTGTTTTTGAATGATTTATTTTTTCAGATATGATCCTCTCAGAATCTTCTGCTTAGTAAAAACCAATAATCTTTTCACATTCAAATTCTGTAAGCTGTTTTTTTTTTTAGAAAGTATTAAGAAAAAAGCCAAGTAACATAAAAAAATAAAGAAGAAAAATATAGGATAATCATCCGATTTCAACGAAATTTAGCTTGTTGGAATCGCTGCACTGAGAAGAATCGGAATTCAGTGTCAGTTTTGTGGTAGCTAGTATGCTTAAAAGTTTTTCTACATCCAAACTTTACTATGTAATAAATTTTGATGTAGATAGCTAAGTTACACAAAATTGTTTTATTAACTTGATATTAAATTTCACCAGGATATCCTTCAAGATTTGGACTTTAAAACAAGTACAAGATCATGTTTCTAGTATTTGTGATTGATGAGTTATAGCCATTTAAAAGTGATCAATCACACTTGCATTTCTTTTGGTAAACAGTGTATAAAAAGATGATTATCTATCTTTAAATGGATTCACAGTCACAAGGATAAATTCGCAAGGGTTGTAATAAAAAATTTCTAAAGTATACCTTCTATTTATAAACTGTTAAAGTAATTTTGTAGAAAGCAAGGTAATTAAAAACTTAGCTAATAAAAGTTTCTTTGTAATATGTTATTATCTAGAGTGAAGTGTAAGACTATATATGTTAGGAATGTTAGTAAAAGATCTTAGTCACATGAATATTTGCATTTGTCATGCTATGTGTATGATAGATCAGTAAATAAAAAAAACAAAAATAAAATAACAAAAATAAAAATTAATTTATTTATTTTAAATAAAAAATTTTCGCTTTAGACTTAAAATAGTTTCTATTTCCTAGTTTTATATATATATATATAAAGAAAGAGAAAGAGATTAAGATTTGGAATTATATATTAATATATATTTTTAAGACTTGTTTTTATTATTTATACAAATAAAAGAGAAGGTTGAATTATTTCTAATAAATAATAGATAATGTACAACTATTTTTTCATGTTTTAACTTTATTGTATAATTTGATTTAAATTTTTAAACTAAATAACTAATAATGAATTGTAATTTAGATTAATATCTAAATGTATTTTACATTAATATAATTTAATAAAAAAAATTCTTTAATATATTTTTCACTTGTTAAAGATAATTTAATCCTTTTTATATAATATTTTCACATAAATATTAATGATTTCAGACTTAAAAAATTAAAATTTTTATTAGAATGAATAGTCACGTAATTTATTATTAATCAATCATATTAGTGTATAATTAACCAATTATAGAAAAAGCCTACTATACTGCAAACATATACAGTCAACTCTTTCTACAACAAATTTTGATATAACGAATTTTACAATACAACAGATTTTTAGTGTCAGACAGATTTTTAAATATAAAAAAACTCTTACTATACTGAATTTAGTAATTAAAAATTTGTACTACATTTAAC